CAAAGCTTCCTCTATGAGGAAGCAAAATGAAAGTGAAATGTGCTGCTCAAGTTTTAAGTGCGAGATTATCAGCATTTCTAGAATATAATAGTAAAATCAAAGGTAATCTATCTCATTATCACTTTCTTTAAATTTACTAATTTGCGTATAATAAATAATTTTAACAATAACAAATATAAACTGTATCTAATTGCATGTAATTTATTCATTTTTTAAGGAGGATTTATTGAATCACAGATTGGTCCGTTACAAATACCAAGTAAGACAGGATACGATACAGCAATGGTATTGGATTTTTTTAACAAAATTTTTGATTCCGTTAATGCACATACCTTTCATCCACGAACTCCTCTACGCGTAGCAGTTACGAAAAATAGTAAGCATCATGAATTTTGGCCATATGCCATTAAACGATTATCTAACATGCGATATGTTGATCCGAAAACTAAACGACCAGTTAAATGTATACCATCATTAAAAAATTGGGTATTTACTTTGCGTGGTTTTAAAAAAATATGGAAAATTGTTGAAAGTAAAGGAATGAAATTTTTAAAAACGAGAAATGTTAATCAGGATCCTTTAGAAAATTTTTTTGTTTAATTCGCAGTCATGGACGCAGAAATATAAATCCGTCGTGCAGTCAATTTTGCGGGTCATATAAAACATTATTAATTAATAATTTTACTGCAAAACGATCTATAGGATCCAATTGCGAAAACATAAATGATGGCGATTTATTATTTACTTTAAAACAGTTTGTAAAAAATGGTACTTGTGTAACTAATATTACAGCACAAACGGAAGAAGATTTTTTAACAGAATCTCAAATTAAAAATATAGAAAATACACCTAAAACATATCCATTACAAGAAAGCAATAGATCATACGTTGCTGGCTGGGTTGTAAAAAAGGTTTTGTCAATAAAAACATTTAAAAATTGTATAATATAACATGTAAAGAAAGTCTTTTAAGTACCGACACATCACATAAAAAATATGTACAATTAATTAATGCAGAATATGTTAAAGAAAAACAATCTCTAACGTATCCATCTATGTGCTTTTTTAATATATTTATTGAAG